CTGGTGAGTCTGAGGCCCCTGGCCCTAGGGCAGAGGTATCAAATAGGGAGACTCTAGAATACAGCCTAAAACAGATTATTACCATTTTACAGATGACAAAGGGATGCAGATGAGGAAGCTGAGGCTCAGAGAAATTAAATGACTTGTCTATTATCATAAAATTATTAAGTGTCTGAGGCAGGATTTGAACCCAGGATTTGAACTTTGCTGTCTTCTGCAGCAAAGTGCAGTGCTTTAACTACCATGCCATTATTTTTCACTGGAACTCCTTATTTCAGAGTATGGCTTCCTTAATAAAAATGGTAAACTGGAGAAAGTTTTTTTTTTTAAATTAACCAATTTTTGAAAATCCTGTTTGGCATTCAAAGCACTTCACAACCAGTCCCATCCTACCTTTCCAGTCTTCTCACAATTGACTCTGTCCTCTCCACCAGCCTCCCTTTATACTCTTCCATCCAGTGACAATGACATTGCTATTCCTCAAACAAAACACTCCATCTCCCTACTCCAGGCATTTCTAAGGGCTGCCCCCAATACATAGAAGGCTCTCCCTCCTCATCTCTGCCTCCTAACTTCCTTCAAGTCCCAGCTAAAATTCCATTTTCTGCAGGAAGTCTTTCCCAATACTCTTGAATTCTAGTGCTTTACCACTGTTGAACATTTCCAATTTATCCTGTACAGCACAGCTGGTTTGTACATAGTTGTTCACATTTTGTCTATCCCATTAGACCGTGAACTTGAGAACAGGGACTATATTTTGCCTTTCTTTGTATCCCCAAGGCTTAGTATAGTACCTGGCAACTAGCAGGTGCTTAATAAATGTTTATCAACTGACTGAAAGACACATTAAATGACAAAGGATCATAAACAGAACTGGTAGGTATGTTAGAGGTCATCTAGCCCGACCCCCCTAATTTTATCCAAAAAGGTTTACATTCTAAAGAATGGTTGAGATTACTACCAGTTTGCAAAACATGAAATTCTTGAATAGCAGGAATTAGTGATATACATGTATAAAGTACTAAAGTTTGAAAATTTATTTGACAGATAATACACTTGAAAATGTTGTCTTGATTGAAACTTGCTTTAAAAAAAGTAACCTTGGGTTTTTTTACTCCTTTCTCCCCTACACCTCTCACAGTCGATTACTGAGTCTTGTTGATTTCACCTTTGCAACACTGCCTATATCAATCCTCTCCTTTCTATTCCTGACACCATCACTCTAATACAGGCCTTTGTAACACCTGCCAAGACTATTGCAATAGTTTTGAACACATTTTTCCATTTTCACTTTTCCCTCCTTCCAATCTATTCTTCATACAGCATATTGTCAGAATAAGTAGTTTTAAATATAAACCTATACATACATACATATCACTCTCTGCTTAAAATTGCATTGGTTCCCTATCACACACTATTTATTTATTGCACAAAAAGTTCAAACTTCTTTCTCTGACATTCTAGGATCTACCGTCATACCAAACGTTTTCCAGGATTATTTTGTATTTCTCATCTCCACACTCTTCACTCCTATTAAACTTCACTTCTCTTTGCACCCCATGACATACTCTGAATTCTCCAGTCTCCATTCCTCCCCTCAGACTATTCTTTATGCCAGTTCAATTTCTACTTAAATTTCTATTCGATTCAAAGATGACCTTTTCAGAGACTCCCCAGATTTCCATTGTGTCCTTAACTTCTTTTCCTTTCAGGCTCACACAGGACTTTGTTTTGTAGATCGCTGTTGATGTACTTACATATTATCAGGTACATAGCTAGCACCCGCCCCCAATCCCGGTTTTTGGTGGTTTTCTTCCTCTATCTTCTCCACTCATAACCTCAAAAGACTATCTACTGTCTGGTACAATGCTCTTCACAAAGTAGGTACTATAGAATCACAGGATTTGCTGTGCCTCAGGGGTCATCCAGCCCTGGCCATATATATCTGAACAAGAATCTCCTCTACAACATACTCAACAAATGGTCATCAAGAACTGGCTTGAAGGCCAATGAGTAGAGGCCCCCAACTACTCCCTGAACTCATTTCACTTTTGAATAACTTTGATGATTGGGAAGTTTTCCTCCTATCTGGCCTAAATCTGCCTCTCTTCAACTTCTATGTAGATCTGCCTTCTGGGGCCAAGCAGAACAATCCCTCTATCTCTTCGAATACACGAAGAGAGCAATCAATACCTGAACACAGATTAGTGTTAACTCTGTAAAATCTGTTACTATTTCAGTACTTTGATCTATCACCAATATGAGCCATTTCAAAGTCCTATTTTTCCTACAGAGAACAGGAATTACAAAATGACCCCCATCAAACTCAAGGTCACTTATGGGGCCTAATATATCATTGGGCCTGAATTCCCCAAATTAAAGGGCATTAAAGATTCTCTATCATCGGCAACCTGGAGAGAAGGGGAAATCTGCATCATTTTATTGGATTAAATTCATTAGAAGCCCAGAGCTCTTCCCATTTCCACCAAAGTTCCACACTGTCTTCTCCCATCCCAGCAATTCACAGAAGGCAGCCTTAAACATATTAATCAACCTCTCTTCCTGGTACTTTGTATTTAAGGAACCCAGAAGGTATTTATCCTCTTGGATATTTGCTAGCTTTTGGAAAAATGCTTAGTAACTCTATAAAGAAAAATCAAATGGTAACATACAAAAGTCTTTACTTCAAAACCTAGAGACCTTCTTTGTATTCCCCGAAGCAGAAGGTCATAACATTTTTTTGTGTCATGGACCTCTCTGGCACTCCAGTGAAGCCTACGGACTTCTTTTTAGAATGAAGTTTTTAAATACACAAAAACAAATATATAGGATTACAAAAGAAACCAATATAAAGTTTATATGTGTATGTGTATACATGTACACATGCTTTTTTTTTTTAAATTTATGGACTTTTGGTTAAGAATCCCTGCAAAGCCTTGTTCAAAGGAGGGGCCTAAGTACCTAGAGTTCTACCTCCTGCCCACAGGTTTGAGGGGTGAGGCAGAGACAAAACCTCCAGGCACCGTTAGAAGAATTTGATTTAACTGAGCTTGACTTTGCCTCTCACCCAAGGTGCCAGATGCTCATTCACAGAAAAGCCTAGTTAGTTCAATACATAGTGTCCTCACACATCATTTATTATGCATAAGAACTATTCTGATCATTTTGTTTTGAAAAAATGGTTCAAATCTCATATAAGTTTTATGCCTAGACTATTCCTAAAATAAATTAGTGCTAGTTGTATGATAGCTTAAAAAAAATACATGAGACCATGGGGATAGACTTGTTTTCCAAAACACCTTGACCAGCTGCCAGCTGCTTTTACATAAAAACAAAACCTTCTAGTCATTACTCATCTGGGATAACTCTGAACTACTGACCTAGGAGGTAAATGGCTCTAACATTCTACTTTAAAACTTCTTGCATTTAAAGAAACGAGACAGACTTCTTTGGGGAATATTTAGATACACACTTTTTACCCTTACTTAGCCAACTTCTTTTGATATCAACCCAAAAAAGCAATTTCATTGCAATAATATCCCTAATAATCCCATATTATAATTTTTAGAAATGTGAGCATGGGATATTAAAATTATTCAATTGTACTTACCTTTTCTACAAACATCTAAATATTTCACCCAAAAGACTGGTAATTTGAAAAGAAATTAAGTGTCAAATTCAATGAAACCTATCCTGAAGTCAACTAATGCATAAATGCATCCTGAGATTACCTATGGGAAGAACTGTAGCCACTGAAAAATTACCATATTGTACTGTGTTCCTAGGAAGGCTTATCCACCTGGCTAGTTTTCAAATGCTATAAGCTACCTGTATATACCAAACTTTAAGTTTCAGTTGGCTAAATGAGGATTTAATAGCTTTATCTTCTGAGAGGAAATCTCCTCTGGAAGCATGCAAGGCTGCTGATGACTTTATTCCCAAAAGATTTTGTAGGACTGTGCAATGAATGGATGGTGTTTTATTAACTATAAAATGGGGGAGGGAGGAAGTGGTAAAATTCCTGAAGTTTTTAATTTTTGTGGACTCTTTTGTGTAAACCAAGACAATAAGGATAATTGAATTTAAAAAGGGGGGGAGGGGGAGGATCTGTCCTAAACCAAAGTAATCTCTACTCACCACTGTCTCTACCCCTTTTCCAGGTCACCCTTCCAATCTACCTTTGATTCAAGGGCTGGTTCCTTTTCCCTCATGTTATCTCACTCCAAAGATATTATTACCAGACTCCTGGAGAGCTGAGAATATACCTTCCCAACATCCTAATCTATGGGGAAATGGATAGTAAACAGTATAGCACCAATATCTTCTATCCCCTTAGCAAAACACTACAAACAAGGCCCTTAATAAATGTTAGTTGAATTGAAGGCATGCCCCCAGCCCTGTCTTAGAAAAAGAGGCAATCACATCAGCGAGAGAGGTGGGAAAGGGCGCTGGTCATCTCTTGAAACTTACCTGAGCATGGAAGTGAGGGAGAGGGTGGATGGAAGCTCAGTCTTAAAGAGTGGATTTGGACTAAAGCTCACAGGGTTTTGAAAAGGTAGGGAATGAGGAAGGAGATTGAGTCTGGTTGGAGGATGCTGAGCTCTGGCTTCGAGCTAGCCTGAGCAGCTGCCACCTTGCCCCCAAGAGGACTCAACTAAAGGGAGATAAACTGTCTTTCTAGGGTCAGGCTCTTGGGACTACTCTTCACCTTGCGGGAGGAAAAGAAGAGATGGGAGGCGTGGGGAGAACTCGAGGCCAAGGTCGCAGGAAGAGTGGAGGGGTAAAAAGGTGGGATGCGCACTCGGATGATCAGGCTTCGCTAGGTTGCCTGCATCTCGCCCCACGGGGTCGGCGGTTCCGTGCAATTTGAGAGGAGGAGGAGGAAGAGGAAGCTCTTCAGATCAGCGGCCCAGAGAGGATGGAGCCGAGGGCCCAGTCCCCCAAGGTGAGGGGAGGAGGGGATGATGGACTCGGGTTCGAGTCGCGGCTAGCCTCCTTACCTGCCGAACGCCCGCTTCATGCCCGCGTTGGAGGAGGAGCCCAGCTCCTTTGTCCCCTTGCCCGCCAGGCGCAGGTTCTTCTTCAGGCGACAATCCTTGTCCAGCGCTGCAGCGGCGGCAGGGGAAGAGGGAGAGGAGGAGGAAGAAGAAGGTGAGGAGGAGGCAGAGGCAGAGGCAGCGAAGCGCTCATGCTCCAAGGCGACTGACTCGTTCCGCTTTCTCATCCCGAGCTCCAGAGCTGCCTGATACTAGAGACAGAGGCCGGCCGAGCCGAGCAGCTGAATCCTTCCCTATTCCCTCCCTCCCTCGGCTTCCCGCGGCGGCGGCTCCTCCCTGCGCTACCCTTGTCACCACCACCTCCTCCCAGTCCTGCACAGCACGCAGCCCCTGGGCTCCCTGCTGCTGCTGCTGCTGCCGTTGCCGCAGTAGCCGCAAAGTCAGAATCCCGGCGGCACTCGCTGCCCAGCGCCTCTGCTCGCTCACATTATACTTGGGGCCGGCGGCGCCCCAGCTACTTACAGAACAGCTGCAGGGGCCCGGCCGGCTGCCGCCCACCAATCACATGCAACGCCCTTCCTCCGCTCCCCACTGGACACGCCTTCCCCCCTTCCCACTCCAACTCTCATTCCTCCTCTTCCTGCCCTGGGCGGAGCACACTTAGCACAGCTTCCATGTTACGGAAGGCAAGACGAAGCTGTTCACTTGGGTGTCATGGTTTGAGCAAAACAGAGTCCACCATGACCAAGGTCCTGCCCTTACCTGGTGGGAGAACCTTAATTATTTCTTGGGCTCAATAGGAACGGGTTTTGCCGTGTTCATGGAAGGGCATATAGAGGAAAAGGCATAAATGCATAAGGTATCAACTACTTCACTATAGCTGGCAAATTGATTCTTAAATGATCCCAAGGGGCATTTTTTTAAATTTTTGGTCATTCTAAAGTCTTGATTGTTAAATACAGAATATTAAGGACTAGAAATTTTGTAGTTTAACGCCCTTATTTTACACATGAAGAAACTGAGAGGAAGTGACTTTTCCAAGGTCACACCACACAAATAGTTAAATCATTGAGCCTGTACCATATGCAATATGTTCTGATTACCTGTCTAGTATTCTTACATGGAGGGTAATGTAAAATGATAAATAATAACTGATATTTATGGAAGACTTTAAGGATTGAAAAGCATTATATATATGTGTGTATATATATATGTGTATATATATGTGTGTATATATATGTGTGTGTATATATATGTGTGTGTATATATATATATATTGCCTTAATTGATCTTCACAACAACCCTGTTAGGTAAATATGAGGCACGCTCTTAATACCATTTTACAAATGAGGATAGTGAGGTCCAAAGGAGAGATATGGATGGAACCGCCGACCCTGTGGGGCGAGATGCTGGCACCTGGTTAGTGGCGGAACCTGGACTAGACTGCAAGGTAATTGATTGTCAATCTCGTGTTCTTTCACAAAAGGATGGCTGACAATACTAGATTTTTTTTTTTGGCTAGACAATGGGGTTAAGTGACTTGCCCAGGGTCACACAGCTAGTAAGTGTTATGTGTCTGAGGCCAGATTTGAACTCAGGTCCTCCTGAATCCAGAGCCAGTGCTCTATCCACTGCACCACCTAGCTGCCCCTATACTAGCTATTTCAATGATCTTTTCTGAGGGAAGCAATTCTAGATTTAGGGCTTGAAGAGACCTTAGAGGTCATCTAATCCAACCCTCTCATCATATAGATAAGGAAATTTAGCCCTAGAGAGATGAAGTGATTTCTCCCAAATTAGAGAATAGGCAGGCTATGAACCCAGGAACTCTGACTCCAAATCTAACACTCTTTCCACTGTAATCAAACCTTAGAAAAGAAAGAAAAGAAAACCAATTTTATTGAAAAATGTATGAGTTTCTAATCACTTGAAAATTATTTTCACTGTCATAGTGGTCAGGATGAATAATGCAGGACTCATAAAATAATGCAAATAGTTCTTAATGTTAACCATTTGTTACTGGAATATTGGTATTGGACATAGATTCTTGCTTATTCAAAGACAACACTGAGTTCTCAGGCCAGTGTTTCAGAGATACAAACTTTACCTCTCCTTCAGTTAATGACTACCAGTAGCTGTTAGCTATGCATCTTTCTACCCCCATTTCTAATTGTTTTTCTTCAGAAAGCAGTCTCTTTAGAACGTCAAATACAAAAACTACCTAAGGTCTATGATGGAAAATTTTAAGAATCCCAGTCTGTGGCCATAAACCTATGAACAAAATATGTTATTCATTCATTCATTCATTCAAAAAATGACTATTAGGCACCTACATATATGCACCTATATAGAAAGCCACATCAAGGTTCATTCAATAATCTTTTACATTGTCCCATAAGGACTTTATTTATAGAAGTATACTTTGAGATTTTTATTTTACATGTGATTGTATGCAAACCACTAATACTTCAGAGCTACCTAGATATTAGAGATTTGGAGTAGAAGCGACCTTAGATAGAGTCATGTAGTTTAATCAACTCATTTTATTGATAAGGAAACTGAGACCCAGAGAACTTTAAGTGATTTGCCCAAAGTCACACAAAACCAGGTTCTCTGAGTCCAAATCAAAGATTCTTTTCACTGTACTGTGCCGATTTCCTAGTGCTTCAAGCATTTAGGAAAAATATATCTAATTAATTAACTTTTCATTTATTAACTATTTTCTATAGGCCTATTATTTCAGGTGTATCCATTTGTACTAGACCTCCTGATTTCACAATGCAATTAGAATTGATGGCTAGTGGAAAAAAAACAAACACATGACTTGGAGTCAGAAGACTTGGGTTCAGTTCCCAGTTGTACCACTTACTACCTCTGTAACCATGGAGTAGACATTTAACCTCTATAAGTCTCAGGTTCCTCTTCAGTAAAACAGTAATAAAAATACTTTATTTCACAGGACTCTTGTGAAGAAAGCAATTTACAGTTCATAATGATTATATAACTAAGATTGTAAGCTCATTGAAGACCTTGTTTTTCATCTTTCTATCCCCAGGATACTGCAGTGCTTCCTAATACTTATTGATCAGTCTAACTTCAAAGTATGTTTAATCTTTAAATGATATGATAATTAAGTCCATGGTCAATCCCAACATGTCTGATAATTCTTACTCACTTAAAATTTTTGATAATGTCACAAATTGTGTATTGTGACTATGTTTAAGAATAATTAGTGTATCATTTGACAGGTGAAAAATAAGCAAAGGACACATTCATTTACCTTTTCTATATTAATCATTTCAAAGTTTGTTTCCATTTGAAAATATTTTAAATCAGCAAGGGGAAATGACTATTTAAAATCTACTAGGAAAAAAACATCCAGAAATTCAATAGCTCTTTTTAAATTATCATTTTAATTATATTTTCAAATTCAAAAATTTTTTGACAATTTTGCTAAATGTCACAAATAAATATAAATGTCTTAATCTATGTTTTAAAAGCATGTTTTAGTGAAATTCAAATTGTTAATTCTTTAAAATAGTACAACAATGGAGATTGGAAATGCTGCAATTAAATGCAACTAAACCGAAAGAAAAAGTTATACTCTAACACTTATATATATTTCTGAAAAGAAAGCAACATAGTTTGCTACAGTCAACCTGGCCACTCACCTGTTTATGAATGTGGACACCTGGGTAAAGGGCTGTGAGGTTAATGGAAATCATAAAGTTTTAAGGACAGAATTATGAAGTTTTATGCTTCCAAAGTAAGTCTCTCAAACTATTGAGTGTCAAATTAAATCTATACAGTATCTATACTTTTTAACTACTGTAATTTAAAAACAGAGCAACAAAGTATCCAAGTGGGGCTAAGCATGAATACAGTCAGGGTAATTGAATACTGTTTTTAAAAACATCGTTGATTTCATTAAGGTGGGTATTTAGCCCCTAATAAAGAACAGATAGAATAGATTATAATTTCTTCATGCCTAATTCTGTGGCCCAAAACATTCATCACATGGGGGTTAGCCCTTTGGTGAGGAGCCTTTCAAGAACTTTGGTCTTGGGAAAAGTCCATCTCTTGGACAAACTTAAAACCTTTCCAGCTCAGTAGTTATGTTAAAACCACAGTACTTGAAAAACAAAAACAAACAGCTCTGTAATTGTGCTGAACATACTACGTGCATTAAAGTAAACAGGTTCTAATGGATAAAGTGCTAGGCCTGAAGCCAGGAAGAACTAGGTTCAAAATCAGTCTCTAACACTAGTGCTGTGACTCTGAGGAAGTCATTTAACTTCCATTTGCCACAGGCAACTCCTTAGGATTTTATTTACCAAGTCACAGAGCTCCCTAGATAACTTGAATCAGAGATTGTTCCCAGGATACATTAAATAGGATTTTGATTCTTACAGTTTGAATGTTAGAGGTGGAAAGGGACCTACAGACCCTTTCAATTTACAGAAAAGGAGAGTGGGGATTAAAGAAACAAAATGACCAAGTTCAAAGAGACAAGCCAGGTCAGATCCTAATCCTAGTTTTGAACTACTCTAAGATTCTCTACAAATTCCCTAAGCAAGAAAATTCCCAAACATTAAAATGATAATTTAAAAAGTCAGACCTATTGAATTTCTAGATTTTTTTTCCTAGTAGATTTTAAATAGTCATTTCTCCTTGCTGATTTAAAATATTCTCAAATGGAAACAAACTTTGAAATGATTAATATAGCAAAAGTAAATGAATGTGTCCTTTGCTTATTTTTCACCTGTCAAATGATACATTATTTTTATGTAAAACTTATCAATTTTTTTTTTTTTTGGTGAGGCAAGTGGGGTTAAGTGACTTGTCCAGAGTCACATGGCTAGTAAATGTTATATGTCTGAAGCCAGATTTGAACTCAGGTCCTCCTAACTCCAGGGCCAATGCTCTATCCACTGCACCACTTAGCTGCCCTCATTTTTGACACAAATGAATTGATGTCTGTTGTTTGGTAGTGTTCCACTCTTTGTGATCCCATTTGAGGTTTTCTTGGCAAAGATACTGGAGTCGTTTGCCATTTCCTTCTCCAGATCATTTTACAGATGAGGAAATTGAGGATTAAGTGACTTGTTCAGGGTCATATAGCTAATAAGTGTCTGAGGCCAAATTTGAACTCAGGATGATGAGTCTTAACTCTAAGCTCAGCACTCTATTCCCTGGGCCACTTAGCTGCCCCAAATTGATGTCCAGTTGGAACATATTCTCTTCCATGTAAGCAATAGGAGAAACAGCTCAAGATTGGGTAATCAGTCATTGGATTGTAAGCTCATTGAGGGCAGGAATGTTTTTGCTTTTGTATACTCAGTGCTTAATATAGTGCCTGGCACATAGTAGACCCTTAAAATGCTTGATGACTTGACTTGGATTTGTAGTAAGAAGCTGTGGACTTCAATCCCAACTCTCTCATTTACTAGCTGTGTTGCATTGGTCAAGTCACTTCACCTAGTTTTTTCATGTGTAAAAAGAACTAGATAACCTCTAAGGTTCCTTTCACCTCTAAATCCCATGATCCTAAGGCAGGAAACAAATTCTAATCCTAGATCTGCTACTAGCAAATTGTGCACTCTAGGACATGTCACTTCCTCATTAAGCCTGTTTCTCCTTTAATTGTGTAAGATACACAGTCTGGCGAAGCATCAATATTTGGAATCAAATGCTGGGTCTACTCACTCATTCCCCATGAAACCCTGGTCAAATTAGGGAACTTAACTGTATGACAACCTTCAGTTTCTTCTTCTGTAAAATGAAGGAGGTTGGACTAGAACACTGTAAGATCCCTCTCAGCTCTAATATTCAGTGATTTTTAAAAATCTGTAGGGAGAGGAACTACTTTGAAAAACTGAAGCCTCTAGGTTTGTAAAAGTATTTTGTTGGTTTTTTTTAAAAGCAAAAACTTGACACTTAAAACACCCCTCCAACACTTAAATATAGAAATCTTGATATATATCTAAAAACCAAATAAATGAAAGTGGACAAAATAATTGCCCACTAACCATACATTTATCCCAATCTGCGCATTAAGATGTCCACTATTTCACTACAATGGATGAAACGGCTGGGTCACGATGCAGAGCAGGTCGGTCAGTCGCGGAACGCACACAGCCAGCGTGGACAAACCACGCGAAGCACAATGCTCTTCGTGACGTCACAAAGAAGCGGGAGGCGGCATTCCCACGCTTTTTGTCAATGGGCCGGCCGGGTCACGTTCGACAGCTTGAGAGGGCCGGGGTTCAGCAGGATACAACAAAATGGCATCAGCGTGACTTGCCTCTCACACAGGCCAGAGCCCGAGGGGCCTAAATCCTTGCTTCGCCTGCTTGCCTTTTCTCCGGACAAATTCGAGAGTCAGGGTTCCCTTTACGGCCGCGAACACAGGCCGCGATGTCCCGGCTCCGGGGCAGAATCCTGGGCCTGGAAAGAGCTGAGAACGGAGACCAACATGAATAGCAGTCGAATTCTCAAGTCTGAGGAATCATGTCCCTTTCCAAACCCCGTAGGAAAGTCAAGGAAAGCAGGGCGGGAGCGAAGGGGAGGGCCCAAGAGCCGGGGCTCCACCCCCCCCTCTTCTCCGCTCCTATTGGCTGGCGTGGGTTTGGCGCCAAAGCCAGCTTCCCGGGGTCGGAGGGAGGGAGGAGCGTTCCGCACGGCGGCGGGGGTTCTGCTGCAGCCGGGCGCTGGTGGAAGCTATTGTGGGTCTCGCGGCCTGAGCGCCCGGAGCTATGTTCTGCGAGAAAGCCATCGAGCTCATCCGCGAGCTTCACCGTGCCCCCGACGGGCAGCTCCCAGCCTTCAACGTAAGGCCGGGTGACATCGCTACCGGAGCTGGGGCTGGGTTGAAATGACGGGGCGGCTGGGGGGCGGGATTGGTGGAGGAGGGGGGCGGGGTCTAAGCGAGGCGGGTTCAGGGGCGGGGCCAAAGTGGCAGAGGGGAGGAGCTAGAGCCCAAGTTCGGAGCTAAGGGAGAGTAGGCTTATAAAGTGAGATCCAGACGGCCAGTGGCTGGTGGAAGGGAGGGGACAGGGACTGGGCCAAGGAGTGAGTTCTTGGGAGAAGTCCGGACCTGGGTTGGGCCAAGGATTGGAGGAGTGTGAAGGTGGGAACTGCGCTTGGGACTTGGTCAAAAAGGATTTGAAAGAGAAGGGAGAGCTGGAGGAGGGATGGATGGGGAACAAAGCAGGGGGTCTGGATCGGGGAAAGGACCAGGAGAAAGGAGAGGATGAAAGGTGAGATGAGAGTGTAAGGGAAAGGGAATACCCTAAGGAAAAGGTGTGAAGGGGATGGGCTAAAAAATAATACAATGCGTACAAGAGAAGAGTGACCAAATAAATGAAGAAGAGATGGTGGAGAGTATAGATCAGTTGTATCGAGGCCTCTAAGTATATCTCTACAGAAATATCAGTCCTTAAGATTTCCTTTTTTTCTTGGCTAATTATTCCAGGAAGCAGTAGCGATAGAAAGGTCCTTTTTTTTTTTTTAAACGTATGCTGAATCTCTGAAGTTTACTGGACTAGTCAGAAGATCCAGGTTCTAGTCCAGGCTCTGACTTCTCTGTGTCTCAGTGTCTTTATCAGCAAAAAAAAAAAAGGCATGTGCCTGAAGAGATAGATGGATGGATGGATGGATGGATGGATGGATGGATGGATGGATGGAGAGATGGATAGATAGATATAGATATGGAATCATAGGGGTCTTCATGGAGGAATGAACTCTGAATTAGACTCTAAAGGATGGATTGGAGCTTTGGATGATCCCTAAAACCCCTGAAAACTCTGACAACTTATGATATGACTCTTTAAGACTTAGTTTAGTGGTTTATTTTTTGATTAGGAGACTGTTGGGGAAGAAAGGGAAAGTTCTGATTTACCCATGCAATGTATTCTCAGAAGCTAGGCCTCGAGTCTTAGTGATAACCCACCAAGCAATATATTTAGATGTGTTTTGACCTATGAAAAAGAGTTATGGAGGAAAGAGCAACCTCTTATCTTTAGCTTTGTACTTCATTTTGTTTGCTTTTTTTCCTCCTGGGAAAAAAAGAAATCCTTTCTATATTAACATAATTCTAAGAGCTATACTGATGCTTTCCAGAGAATATGTTTTTAAAATATACAGCAGATTTAGACAAATATACAGTATATTTCTTAGCCATACATTTTAATGGTGTTAAAATTTCAAAATCTAATATTTGGTATTGTGAGGAAATATATAAAATATTTAAGCTTATTGTAAGTCAGGTGACTGTTAAGTCCACAGGTCTGTTACATTTGTTTTTGAAACTTTGTTACTTTTGTTTTGTCATAAAAGCCTTGTAACAGTATTATTTCATATAACTAGTGGAGTCACTTCATCTGCAAAGCTTTTGTAGGAATACTGATTTTTGATGAGATGTGTATGTAAAATAAAAGTGCATAAATATGCCTGTGAAATATTCGACATTAGTTTGAATTTTACTTTTGAAGAATGAATGAATGCATTTCAAAATTAATTTATATATTTTAGGATGATGGAATCAGGCAAGTTCTGGAAGAGATGAAAGCTTTGTATGAACAGAACCAGTCTGATGTGTAAGTTGTGTTGTATTAGTGAAAATGTTAAAAAGTATTTTGAAAGAATTGATACAATATCAATATTTTAATAATTTTATAATTTTAATTTATATTAATATTTTATAATTTTAACCCATCCATTAAATTGCATAGTCCTTCATGAAATTTATCACACTATACCCTCTTTGCAAATTAATATTAATTTACGACCTTGCTGTAAGAGAAATTTATATTACTCCAAAGTAAGTGAAGCCATAAGCAAGTAAAAATTAGTGGTTAAATGACAATTCTTTAAAGAAATAATTGATCTTATTTTTATTGATGCTTTTTGTTTTTTATATCACATTAATTTCCAAATATATTCCTTTTCTCTGTTCCTGCAGAGAGCTTCCTCTCAGAATATTCAAAAAGAAGAAAGAAGTAGTTACAAAAAAAATCCACCCAATACATTACATTCACTATGTCTGACAGTATATTAAATATTATATACTCATACTCCCCCACTAATGCAAAAAAAAAGTTCTTTTTTTTCAGCTCTTCTCTAGGGCTAGCCTTGGTCATTATAATTTTACAGCCGTTTTATATGTTGTTTTTCATGGTCTCTGCTTCATTCTGCATCAATTTATATAAATCTTCCCTTGCTTCTATGATTTCACTATTTCTTAAGACACATTAATATTCCATTACATTCATGTACAGTTGGTTTAGCCATTCTTCTATCTACTTTTTTTCTGGTTCTGTTCTACTACAGAAAATGCTGCAATGGATATGTGGATATATATGAATTTTCTTTCTTTTTTATAATTTCTTAAGGTAATTTGCCTAGCAGTGGGTTCTGAGGGTCAAAGTGTAGAACAGTAGTTCTTAAAGCTACTCATATTCACAGTTATCAGATGTTTCAATGCTGCTGTTAAACATGAGTGTGATTGGTGAAAATTTTATAGGTGGGTAAAGGTGTTAAGGTTGGTAGTTTTAAATAATCTGTCAGCAATAATCCATTAGCTTTTAATCTCCCAAGCATATTTATTTATAGCTTCTTTGTCTTTCCTTTATAAAGAACTCTTTGATGAGAGTAGTTTATTTGAAATATATAAAAAATCATAATAGCACATCTTGTGAACAATGCAGGAACCATGTATGCCTTCTAGAAGTAGAGAAAATGTAACAGTTGGTTCCTTTTTTCATAATAAAAAGTATCCCCAGGGCAGCTAGGTGGTGCAGGAGATACAGCTCCGCCCTTCGAGTCAGGAGGACCTGAGTTCAACTTCGCCTCAGACACTTGAAACTTAATAGCTGTGTGACCCTGGGCAAGTCACTTAACCCCAACTGCCTCACCAAAAAAAAAAAAAAAGTATCCTCACCCCCTTCCAAATAAAGGGCATTACTGTGTTTCTAATAAGAGAGTGTGACAGGCTTAAAAAAGCACTTTTAAATTTGTTCTTTCTCTGATTTCTTAATTATGTTCCAGTCTTCACATAGGAGGTTTTGTGGTGGTTGCCCAGTTTCTAACCATATTTTCTTAAGAGTGAGACTTCAAATATTTTTTCCTCTGTAGCCTTTTAAAAGTAAAGTAAAACCTCTTTACAACAAAAATTTGGATGTGCTATAATCCAAATATGTCCTTATAATATGACTTTTAAAAAAGTTATGAGAAACATGATTTCTGGGTAATTTAATAATTTTATTAATAAGGCCAGCATGTTTATTAGCAAAAGGATGGTCATTTGGCCATCTCTCATAGACCAAAGACCCATCATGGTGCTGGACTCACAGTTTATATGCCCTTCGAAGAACAGGTGTTCCTGAGAGTGGCAATCAACCGTTATTGGTTAATAGTTAATGAGAGGATGATATTACAATGAGAGAGTGGGCTATATTACAATGAGGGTCTTGGGGTACATGATGTGGGTCACCCAAATCTTGGCCAAAGAGACTTATCAATTTCTATATCATCTGTCTGACAAAAGGGAGAATCAGCACTTCCCAGATCTGTCTGAGCAGAAATTCCCCCATTAGCCCAGACTTAGAATTTCTTTTACTTTCTCTGATTCTCTGATTAGATCTTGGCCTGGATAAATCTATGCCTAAAATTTCCCACCCTAGTTGATTTCCGGATGAGGAAGTAGAAACGGGGAAAAACCTTGGTCCTAATATAATAATTAGTTATTAATACAAGAGATAAATAATCATTTCTCACAGCAATAAATTACTTCATACAATAAAAATCTATAAATTATTCTCTATCATAATGCTAATCCTATCTTCATGTAGCAATAAGAGCATAAAGCAGTGCTATATTGCATAAACAGTTTTTTAAAATAGTTAAGATAGAATATGCTAAGTGGAATAAAATTACTTGGTATGGCCTTAGACCTATGATTTAATTTTCATTTTTAATCTTATGAGAACTGTCAGGAAAGTTGAAATAATCTACAAAGTCTTTGATATATGGCAATTATTTAAGTTGACTAACTCATGATAGAATAAGTCTAAAAGTGACTGACATTGAAAGGACAGTTTTAGTAAAAGTCATTGGATAATATATACTTCTTACTCTAAAATATGTATGTATTGATTTTCTTTTTTTCCTTTGAATTTTTATTATCAGAAATGAGACTAAGTCAGATGGACGAAGTGACTTAATTCCGACAATCAAATTTCGACATAGTTCTTTGCTGAGAAATCGACGTTGCATAGTTGCATATTTGTAAGTTTCTTGGTGAAAATTAATGTGTTTTTATAACCTTTATAGATAGAATACAGATGCCTTTTTATGAGTTTATATTTTATTTTTTTCCAATTACATGTAATAATAATTTTTAGCATTCATTTTTTTCTTTAAATTTTGAGTTCCAAATTTTCTCCTTCCCTTTTCCCTCCCTCCTTGAAAGGCAAGCAATTTGATATAGGTTATACATGTGCAGTCATGGAAAACATATTTCCACATTAGCCGTGTTGCAAAAGAAAACACAAACCAAAAAAAAAAAACCCCAAGAAAAATAAAGTTTCAAAAATTCTTCAATCTACATTCAGACTCCATCAGTTTTTTCTGTGGAAGTAGATAGCATTTTTCATCATAAGTCCTTCAGAGTTGTCTTAGATCATTGTAGAATACAGATTTCTTTCTTGTAGCAGGGAAGCAAAAGAGATTTTCCATGTGATTTCATAGATTAAGCCCTCCAGCTCTTTCATCATAGGTTCATAAATTTAGAACTGGAATGTACCTTGAAGATCAGTTAGTCCCTCATTTTGTAGACGAGGACTCGAAAGTCTGGAGATGTTAAGTTACTTAAGGTAACTTAAGGAGACACAGGTGGTAAGTAGCAGAGCGAGGTCTGGATTCTAGGTCCTTCAGTTCCAAATCCACTGCTCTTACTGTCATGCCACCCTTCCTAGTCCTTAATTTATTTGTTTTCATCTGTAAGAGCTAGAATATCTTTAAAAAATTTTTAAATTGTGAACTTGATAATATTAACAAAAAAATTTTAATCGAATATACAAAATAAGGTATTAAAATCTTACATGAAAACATGAAAATCTTACATAAAAGGCATTTTACAAGGTAGAACCGAAAAAGCAAAACATGTTTTTGTTCTCCCTTCCCTTCCTTCTAAGTCTGTCCAAAGTTCCACTACTTTGGGCTTTGTTTTCTTTCTCATCTATCTGTAATTTTGTTGATAGTGTGGTCATTGGGAATGCAGTCTAGTTGTTTTTATTTTGCATATTTTATGCAGATTTTTTTCATAAACCATTGTATGTCTCATTGTTTTTGACGGGCAGCACAGCACATTATATTGATAAGCCATAATTTATTGTCCATTCTCCAATTGTTAGACATACTGTTGTTTCCCTTTTTTCTTGCTGCTACAAATAGAACCAATATGAATCAATATGAATATATTGGTATAGATAGACCTCCCCCACCTTTTTTGGATGCTTTTAGGATATAATTGTTGTAGTAAGATAGCTAGTTTGGAAGGTATGGTCAGTTTTATGATTCCTACTGCATATTTCTCTTCAAAATGTGATGACATATTAGGATAGCTATGCATGGTGCAAATTTAAGACTGCATGTGTAATCTTTCTGTTCTGCTTTGTATATAGAAACGCTCATCTTATTTGGTGTTTGTTAATTGCAGATTTCTTTAAAGCAACTGATATATTAGATTACCTGTTTCTCCTTATTTTGTCAACAGATGTTTATTAATTATTATGAGCCAGACACTGTGCTCTCCACTGAGGATATAAAGAAAGGCAAAGACCTGAGAGCTGCCTTCAAGGAGCTCTTATACTAATGTGGGAGATAGCATGTAACTAAATATGTAAATAACAGTGTAGAGTAGATGAAAGACACTATCAGAGAGGAAATCCTCACCAGCAGATGGGGGGGGGGCTAGGAAAGATTTTCTACAGAAGGTGGCATTTGAGTTGAATCTTCAAGATGGCCAGGGAAACTGAGGTAGAAGTGAAGAAGGAGGGCATTTCAGGAATGGGGGATAGCTAGTCCAAAGGCCTAGAGATGGAGGATGGACTGTCATGTGTGAGGAGCAGCAGGCAGATCAAAATAGCTGGATCACAGAGTGCATGGAGGGGAGGAAAATACAACAAGACTGGAATGGTCAGAAGGGATCAGGTTTAAAGAGTCTTAAACACCAAGCAGAGCATTTTATATCTTACCCTGTCAGTAATAGGAGCTGTTGGCATTTATTGAATGGATAGATGACTTGGTCAGACCTATGCTTTAGAAAAGTCAACCGAGTTCAAGATGGCTTTTAAGTGGGGAGAGCTGGGGCAGGAAACCTATTGTGTTAGTTTTGGCCAAGATGGCTGCCTGAATAGGAGGGAGACTACCTGGGCTCCACAAACCTCCTCCAGCAAAAACCCAAAATTGGTACCAGATCAAAACAATGATCAAGAATCAGTTAGAAACTACAGTAAGTAACATTTCCTACTCCATAACTACACAAAAAGTAAGCCAGAAGCCCACAGACAGCAGAGAAAAGGCCACTACCCAAGCCAGCACTGATGAGCTGCCAGCCTCCCAACTCAACCACAGACGCGTGTAGCCTGCACTTTGTACAGAGGAAGCAAGAACAGAAGACTCCCTCAGAAAGTTAGATAGGGAGGTCAGAAAGCCACAAGGTGGTCGGGAAGTCCCAGGGTAACTACCTTGGATACCACAACCAGCATGGTGTGGCAGCAACCCCCTTAGTGGTTCAAATAGTACACACAAGGCCCAGGGACTCTGAGGTCTCTAACACGGCCCTAATATGCCACAGAGAGGCTTGAAGACCCAGTGCTTCGACCTTCAGAAATCCAGAAGACCCTAATATGAGAAGTGGAGGTCAGTACAGAAACCCAGGTGAGCGAGGGTACCTCTAAGCCTGTAGAGATCTGATAGTGCTAGTTCCTTTTTGTCAATTTTGTTTTTCATAGTTCTTGTTATTTTTGTCAATCTGTTTCTCTATAATTTTTTTTTTAAATTCTGAAAATCTTTCTAATGTTCTAGGTATGATCGATTGCTTCGGATTAGAGCTCTCAGGTGGGAATATGGCAGTGTCTTGCCAAACACGCTGAGGTTTCACATGTCAGCTGAAGAAGTAAGTCAGATCTATTGTCACCATTATGTGACTGTATTATCCTGGTAAGACAGTGGTTACTGGTCATTTTTCACATTTGTAAGTAAGCAATTCTGAGGCTGAATTTATACAGTATACTTTATGGAAACAAACGAAAACAAGATTATATGTGGAAAACTCTCCTGGTTTATAGTTCAAAAAACGGGGCTGGTTATACTGCTTATTAGAAATAATTAACAAGATTTTAAAGGTATGAATGGAATTTGATTAATTCTATTGATTTGGCATGTCTGGATTTTTCAAAGCGTTTCAATAAATAGTCATAATACTAGCGTTTATATAAGTAGCACTTTAAGGTTTTCAAAATGTTTTGTTTTTTGTCTTTTTTTTACAAATATCTCATTTTATCCTTACAACAACCCTGGGTGTTACTGTCCACATTTTACAGATGAGGAAACTGAGGCAAACAAGTTAAATGACTTGCCCAGGGTCACACAGATAGTGTCTGAGGCTGCATTTGAACTCAGAACTTCCTGGATCCAAGTCCAGTGTTTTATCTAATGCACCACCTTGCTGCCTTATATATGTATATTTGCCTTAGTAAGTGATATATTTATTTGTAATGAAAATTGGGATGGTTTAACATTATATCACATAGCTTCTATGCTTTTTGATAGTGAATCACTATCTAATATATTCCTTTGTCTTAGCCATTTAACAGATAAATGAGCATTTAGAAACCTTTTCCTCATGCTTACCATGTAGCTCTGAAATGGTTGCATTTTTGGTGGGTTCTGTTTTAATTTTTTCATCTCATATGGCATTTTGGGGGACTTTGATTTGTTTTTTTGCAAGTAATTGGGGTTAAGTGACTTGCCCAGGGTCATATAACTAGTAAATATCAGACCCTCCTGACTCCAGGGCCAGTGTTCCATCCACTGGCCACGTAGCTGCCCCTCTTATATCATTTTATAGCTAAGTTAACAGTTTCCAGTAACAGTATAAAATGAACTTACTTTACCTGAATATTAGATCTGATTCTGCTATTTTGAAATCTCTACTTTTTTACTTATTGAAATTAGTGTGATCTATATGTCATCACTAGATGACAGCTAATTATCTTATCAGACAATAGTGAAAATTAAGACATTTATATCCAAGTTTGTAAATTTACATCCCCATTCATATTACATATGTCTTATGTAAGTCAATTTCACATGTGGCATAAATTTCTTCTAGTCTTGAGGACAACCCTTCCTAATTTGGGGAGATGAGTAATAGGAGCAATGTTTATGATGAGTGACTAGAATAATTTATTTGAATGACTACAGATTGTTGGGGGTTTTTCCAGATAGTGTGACTCATTTTGCAATGAACTGCAGTGTATGTTACTGCCTTTACTTGTATTTGTAAAAAATTATTAATGCCTGCCCCCAATTTCCTTTTTTTGGGGGGGGGGGGTGTTAGGCAGTGGGGTTAAGTGACTTGCCCAGGGTCACACAGCTAGTAAGTGTTATGTGTCTGAGGCTGGATTTGAACTCAGGTCCTCCTGAATCCAGGGCCGGTGCTCTATCCACTGCCCCAGCTAGCTACCCCACCCCAATTTCCTTTTAAAAATATATTGATATATTTGTTTTAAATCTTCTAATATATCCTCCTGTCTTTTCCTGCCGAGAAACCTATCCCTTATAAGAAGGAATAAAAAAGGGACATTTTTTTTAAAAGTTCAGCAAAACTAACCAACATATCAGTTGAATCCATAATATATGCACAAGAATAGTCCCCCATCTCTTCAAAAAAGAAAAGGAGGTATATTCTAATATCATTTCATCAGTGCTAAGTTTGATCATTATAATTATATAGCTTTTGGTTTCAACTTTTTTTTGTTCTTTCCATTTATATTTTTATAATCATTGTATATCCTGCTTCTCCTTACTTCATTTTGTAACAGTTCATTTAAATTTTCTCATTCTTTTTGGTGTTTTTTATATTCATCACGTCTTAGAATACAGTAATATTCTATTACATTCATGTACCGTAATTTATTCGCCCATTCCCCAATAAATAGACATCTACTCTTTTTCCATTTTTTTGCCACTACAAAAAATAATGCTATAAGTAAATATTTTGACATATATAAGACCTTTCTATCTTTGACCTTTTTAGGATATATGCCTAGTAGTGGGAACATTGGATCAAAGGGTTTGGATATTTTAGTCACTTTCTTTTAATTGCTTTCCAGAGTAGTTGTGGATCAATTAACAGTGCACCACCAGCCTTTATTTTCTTACTAAGGATTTTTAAAAATCAGAATAAAAAATTAAAGAATCCTACAAAAGGGCTCTGATCTCCACAAATAGAGTAACTACATGTTATTATGTGAATTGCTCATTTTAGTTTTAAAATATATTAAAGGATGCTTCTCTGCTTCTTGTAACCATTTAGGCTTAAGGACCAAAGCATATTTTCAGAAAGGGCTAAGCATTATATACTTTCTTTTCTTTGTATATTGAAATGTTCATGTTTGTTGATGCTTGTTAAGCCTATGATAAGAAAAAAAAATTTAATAGCTAAGCAGGAAGTCATTGGTAATTATTTAAATTTCTGGGCATTTTTGACAGCTCACTGAAGAATACCAGCTGGTGTGGATTCTCATGGTTGTGTTTCTGTATCACTCAAATCTAGGTATTGAAGAGTAAAAAGCAAAACATAGAGTAGCCAAGGCAAAAAGCTAAAATGAAGGACTAACATCAATCACCAGGGAGCAAATGCTTCAATAAAACTCTTAATGAAGGATGCTTCCTGTTGAAAGCATATACCACATGTAGAAGTTACAGCCTAATGCTACTCAATCACTAATGTTACCTTATTAAAAAATGTTACCTTATTTAAAAATAAGAGTTAAAAAAGCTTGACTTCTTTTTAATATTTTCCAAGAATTCCTTTTTTGAATTGTCTCATTGCCTGTGTGAATATTAAGTCCTCCAAATAGGAGATAATAAAAATAGATGTTGGTGGTCTTTAAAGCTATTAGTGATTTTTCTTTCATGCTTGATTTTTGATGGGTAGATTATGTGCAGTTTAATATTAGCTTCTCACCTCAGAATGAAGTTGAATTTTGCTCCATCTGACTGTTCTCCATTATCAAAATTCCTTTTTATTTTTCTTAGTATTCCTTTGGAAGTCTGTTTAGTGCTCTCAGTCAAATCACAGTAATTAGGAGGCAGGAAATACAAAGAGGGAGAGATCTTTATGTTTTAATTGCTTCAGAACTTCCATCTCTAAACATGTCTAGTGGTCATATTTTAGAACACAAAATTTTAAAAGAGGTTATGATTCAAAAAGCACATTTATTTCCCAAGAGTCTAGGAACTGGTTTTCATTTCACTTAGGCCATAGTGAAGCTCTGTCTTCTTTGGAATAGGAGGTTTATCTTTCACATGTAATTGCAAGATTAATATTTCTATTTGTTTTCAGATAGAATGGTTCAATCGCTATAAAAAGTCTCTTGCTACATACATGAGATGTTTGGGTGGAGATGAAGGATTAGATATTACACAAGATATGAAACCCCCTAAGAGCCTGTACATTGAGGTAAGTGCAACTTTTCAAGTGCCCATCTATGTTAGAGGCTTATTCTAAAGTACTTCAATTCTGAAGTATTATTTTTCAAACTGTAGTTTGTAGTCTAGGCTGGATGTCATAGGAAAATTATAAAGAAGTTATTGAGTGTGTGGTAAATTTTTTATTGTTCAGATCAGTGATGTCAGTAGTTTAGGGAATGTTTAAAAAAGAAACCAATGAAGAGTAACAACTTTTCAGTAATTTACAGTCTTAATAGAGTAACTTGGGAGAGTGGAAACATTAAGTGATTTGAACGAAAGTCTTCTGGCTCTGAGGCCAGCTCTCAATCTGCTCTGCCACAAATCATGTAGAGAAAGCTTTGAAAGGCCTCTGACTTCCCTTGAGAGTTAGAGAAATACAACTGGGAGAAATCCCATAAAGCTCTCAGTGACTTGAAGACAAAGTAGTTTATTCCTGATCACAATTCATTGGATTGTGTGTCCTCCCAAAGGAAGTAAAATACTTTCTGCTTCTTCCATGTTGCTGTATCAGGAATGTCATCAGGGCTTTCATTAGCTTGGGGGAATCTGCTCTGTACATTCTTTTTTCCAGCCAAGAGGTTAGCAAAGAGCTGACAAGAAAATCCCTCACCTCTCCATATGCTAAGAGATTGCCAGAGAGCATACTTAACATTCTGTGGAAGACTTCATTAAAAAAAAAAAAAGCTTATAAAAGTCAGTATTATGACTTAGGGCAAGTCACCTAATGTGGCCTCAGTTTCCTCATTAGTAACTTGAAGGGTTGTACTATCTCATGCTTAAATTCCTTTCCAGCTGTAAATCTATGATCCTTTGAAAAGGACCTTGAAAAGAATGCTACAAGCATTCCCAAGTCAGTGGATTAGGACCTTCTAGTAGAACCAGATCAAATCCCAGTTGGTTCCTGTTCCTGCCTTATACTGTGCTCGGCGCCCTCACCACACCTTCTCTTGTACCTCACCCCACTCTCTTCCCCTGCCTGCCAGTGTACTCTGTTTGGTGTTGGGGTGGCACAGCTCACTGCAGAGCTCCCTTTCTTTTGCTTTACTTGGCCTTACTGTCAAGAACTTCTTGCTTATTCCCCTCACTGTCCATCTCAAAGTCCACCTTCTGCAGGATCCTTTCCTGGTCCCCTCAGGTGCTAATGCCCACCCCTTTTAGGTTAGCTACCAGAATTGTGATTGGGTGGTAGACATAAATTGAGTTAACCACAATGGAGGGGAGGTTGCTGTGTGATGGAGGTGAAGGGAGAACATTGAAGTGGGTGGGGAACAAGGAGGATTTGAACTCCCCCACCTCAATCAATGAGTGGGGGAGGGGAATGGATGAAAGTATAACCAGTGCTGGAAAGAGAGGCCAAGGAGGCTGTATCATCAGGTCTCAGTGGGAGCCAGAAGATGAGAGGAGTAGAAATTAAAATATTTAAGATGAAAGCAAATTTGTTACCTACTGAACACATACTTCAGAGAACATAATGAAAAGGGCGGGCAGCTTTAGATTGGGCCGTTGGCGAGTTCAGTTGAGGAGGGGTAGAAGGGAGCAGTGAGGGATAGAGCAAAGTTTGTATAAAGTGGTATCTAATTAACTAATGAGAAAAGTGTAATTTGAATAAAAAATTTGAGGTTCTTCCATTTCAGGTGCGGTGTCTAAAAGACTATGGAGAGTTTGAAGTTGATGATGGAACTTCAGTTTTATTGAAAAAAAATAGCCAGGTATTTCTTATAATAAGACAAATTGCATTAAATCTTAGAAAAATAGAGACTGAGAAAAGCAATCACAACAGTGAGGAACTAAGCTTGGCTTTTATGATTACTATTTAAGACCCATGTATTATAATTATCTTCCCCTCTTTTATATTTTCTAGGAATTGGGAAAAAATGCTGCAAATAGTAGAAAAAGAATATTAATACTTGATTTACTTTAATATCAATGATAATAAAGCATAGAATAGGCAGGTTTTTATTATCTTAAGCAATCAACAGAACCTTCACAGAGGGTAAATTATTATTGCTTGTTCCTCAGTGTTAACTTGAGCCTTAACTTAAGAAGCATCTTTAAAAGTTAAGTGAGAATCCTTGTCTTGTCTTGAAACTGCTGCAGGAGAGATACACATTTGTAATTAATTATTTTTCTAATTCACAAGTATTTATTTTCTCTCCTTCCTACCTCTTCATCTCGCTGAAAAGCAAAGCAAAACTCTTGTAATAAATATACTTAGCCAAGCAAAACAAAATCTCACATTAGCTATATTTGAAAGCATATCTCTTCATTTTGAATGTTATGTCACAAAAACTGTAGACCAGAGGTTTTTAACACAGAGTCCAGGAACTTGTTTGTATGTATATGTGTACATACATACATGCATAAAATAAACATATACTTTAAATTACTATGTAAATACATTGACATTAATGTATTATATACCAACATATTTATGACATATATCATGAATATATTTCAGTCATCAATATAGTTCAACATAATTGGTTTCCTTTGTAATTCAATGTACTTTATTTTATGTATTTAAAAACATTCTGAGAATAGTCTATAGGCTTCACCACTGCCAAAGATGTCTATGACACTTCAGAGGTTAAGAACCATTGCTATAGTTCAGTACCCTTAGAAAACTGATGGAAAAAATTTTAATATTAGCACCAAGGCTATAGAAACCATATCATAATGATTATATACTCTGACCAGTTGGATTTATATTAGGAGTTCAGAGTTGGTTCGATATTAGGAAAACTGAAAACACAATATCCTACATTAATAACAAGAACAACAAAACCATATGATAATAGATCCAGAATGTGCATTTTTAACAAGCAGGGGAAGGGGGTGTACACAGAACAGCTGGTAAAGGAATTTCTGTTTTTCAGGAATAGTTTTATAGCCTCAAATGGAAATATTTACCAAGAATTTCTAGGGGGAAAAGAATACAGATATTGAGAGTTGATGATATTAGTTAAAAACAAAAGGGAGAAAAATATAAATTGTGGTGATAAAATTTGCACCGAATTTTTCATTATAAGGAATCTAGATGTGCCTTAAAGTCTTAAGACTTCTCCACCCAAATACAGCAGTTCATATTAGTAACAAGGGAAGGGAATAAGTATCTGGCATTTATAATGCCAAGTGCTTTATAAACATTATCTCATTTAATAACGTGACATAAAAAACTACATTTCTTTAATTTTAATGTTTCTCTGGCCACATTAATATAGCATATTTAAATACTTAGGAAATACAAAAGATGCAAAATAATTAGCATCTCTCTCATTTCCTCCCCCTTGGTATTTACCAGCCAGTGCCAACTGACAGTAAGCTAGTAATTATACAGTTTCATATGTATAGTACAGCAAATATGCTTCACAATCATGTGGCTTATTTGGTTTTCATCTAGGCAGGGTAAATAAGAGGCCATGTTTATTAGATTTTGGTTTTGCTAATACCATTAAGGTTTTAAATAACTCCACTAAATAAAGATGATCATTTTTGAAAACCGGAGAACTTGGGGCTACAACCAAAGACTCATATTGTAAGCAGTCTAAAAAATTACTTTCAAGTCTTGTCTTAGAATAAGCCATGCCAAATGTACAAAAAGTAGAGAATGATTGATGCTTTCATAAGATCTCAATTTCTTATGTCCTGTCTCAGAGTTAGTTCTGGTTCCCAGGAATTAGGGGAAAGTCAAGCCATCTCAAAGCAACATAGCAAAAGTTTAATTTCTGTTCCCAGAATGTCCTTTCTTGTAACTCGCTTTGCTATGATGAATGGTATATTCTGCTAATGTCTAGCAGACATTGTGGAACTATTCCTGTGTTTCTTAGATCTCACTAAACCCATAGTTTTAATAAAAATAGATTTTTAAAAAAATTTCATTTGATGTTTGGGGGCATCTTGGATATATGGCTGAACTCATTTTTGGAAATGGTTGATTTCCAGGTCCATATAGTTACATTTAAAATAAGTAAGATTTTTCTTAGCTATCAAGATCTTTTCTGCTCATATGGCACTTTGAGATTTGTAACTGAAGGGAACTGTAAGGTACATAACTCTACTATGGTTCCTGTATTTATTTTTGTTCTCCTAATTATATATACACTGTGATTCTGATTCTGCTTTGCTCTGCTCAAGTCCCTGTATTTGGGGGGGGGGGGGAGAATTCTTTCCAACTTCCTTGTGTTCCCTAATTCAGAATACCTGGGGATTGGTACCTTTAAGGTGCCTTTCTTCCACTTAGATCTAAAGGTACCTTCACTTAGGCAGAAGTAAGGACACAGGAGTACTCTCCCTAGGGTGGATATAGGGCAAGTTACATCTCAGAAGTTTCAACAACCTCCTACCTGCCTACCTGCCTGTCCTCCTCCACCCAGTATCTTTAGTTCTTAAATCATAACATGACAAGGAGAAAAGTTGTCTCCTTGTTAAGGTGCATTACAACTTAACCAAACGTAATGGGACTTAAGGTCTATGTGTGAGGTAAAGAGAGAAGATAACAATCAGGGTTCTTTTATAGGGGCTTGTCCCCTATAAAAGCCCACAAAAGCATTACTGCATAATTTTTCTATGCATAAAATGAATGTCTTACTTCAAATTTATATGTAATCTAGCAAATTTTTTGGTTTGCAGTGAAAGGCTGCTTCATTGAATTCCTCACTAAAAACCAAAATTTAGTACATTTCTGCTTGGAACTAATTTTGTTCAGTGAAAACTGAATAAAAATTAAAATAAATTTTGCTTTTGGTTTTGAAACTGTTGATATTTTTGATAATCCAGTGAATCAGTGGTTGTTCTTCCTTTCTTTGCACTGTAGTTTTTAAAAGAAAGTCTTTTACATAGAAAAGTGCATAGCCCAGAGGACAATGAAAGAAATGCAAATTTTAAAAGCAAGTTTAAGTTTTTATTGCATAATAAGATAAAATCCCATGTTAGTAGGGATGTGGGAGAAACAGGTATGCTTATACATTGTTGATGGCACTTAAACTTGTTTAGATTTTGAGAACTTTCTCAAAATGTGTCACAAAAACTAAAAATTGTTCTTATCCTTTGATCCAGTAATTCCACTTTAAGAAATAAATACCCCAAAGACATAACTAAAAAGAAAAATAGGTTATTTGTGCAATATATTTATAGCAGTTCCATTTGTAATAGTGGAAAAAACTGAAAACAACACATGTCCCATAGTAGAAGGATAGCTAAGGAAACAGTGGTTTGTTATTTTATTGTTATTATTAAAGATGACACATTTAGACTATGCATGGAATGTTTTTTGAGTTTCACACTGTAGGATAAAAACATAACTCGTACACACTGATTACATATATGAAAACTTATGTCTACATTAAAGTTCAGGATTCATTTTTGTTTCTAATATATTTCTCTTTTTCTTCTCCAGCATTTCTTGCCTAGATGGAAGTGTGAACAACTAATCAGACAAGGAGTCCTAGAACATGTTCTGTCATAACAGTGTCCTGAAAACTTTGGGAAAACTTTCTTTTTAGTGTAGTGTTGAACCCAGTACAAATGTCTCTCTGCCCTTCTCCCCTTCATTGTGATCCTAAAAATTATAGATGGATCGTTTCTTGAGGTATAATTTCCTCATGTATTTTTTTTACTCCTGATGCTAAGAAAAATGTTGGAGTTTGTTTTTCTTAGGAATAAATAATGACCTTTTGGGAATGAGTTGTGATGATGTTCTTTATTATTTGATACAGAAAAAAATGAAGTAAAACTTAATTGGATTTATGTCCAATTAAAAAGGAGCTTAAGTTGACAGCCTAGGCAGTCTAATGTCATTTCCTCAGAGCTCACTGTCAGAAATTCAGTTGCATCAGTATTCCACTGTAAGCAAACTAATATTTAAATGTTCCAGTAAAGTAGTTTTAGAACTCCTCAGGGACAGGATTAACATGGCAAGTTAGTTTGTATAAAAGATATGAAATGATTTTTTTCTTTTAATTACATTCAACTAATTTACAAATACAAATACAAATTTACAAATGACTATTTTTAAGAGAATGTCCATATTCATGATAGTCTGACTGTCGTGTCAGGGCTAATGCCCTGTCTTTTAACACAAAGGTAAAAACATTAAGATGTTGCCATTCTAAGAAAAGAAACCAAAGCTGACACAGCAGAAACTTGTGTCTCTTCTTCAGACTCAGGATGTCATGTGACTGATGGCTAGATCATAAGACTCTGTCGATTTCATATAGCCCTCAGGGTTGGTTCTGTCCCAAACACTCTCTGTGGTTTGTCCTTGCCCATTCCACAAATTGCATTCCTCGTGACTTTCCCACTTGTCTCAACCAAAGTCAGTCCCACATCAACCAGTCTCTAGACATACTGTCACAGAAACCCCTATAAAACACTTTCATAGCACCTGTGTGGGAAATTCACATTACTCACATGTGTGAATAATATACACACATGCACACAGTGAATATTTAAGGCCAATCCTTCACTCAAGACCTTGTGGGATAAAGGTGGCATGCGTGTTGCTCTGTTGTATAATTTTAATATAGCTGCTTTTGTATTAAGGTCAGCTACATATAACATCTCCATGGGTTATTTTCCATTGCCTATGGCATTTTTATAATCATATCCTAATCTAGTTTCTACAGCATCAGTAATGTGTAGGACTTTGAAAAGGATAGATGACTTTTGAAATTTTAACTATGGTTCTGTTCTGCATTTGGCCCATCTCCCTTTCCACTTATATAGCACCTGCCACACTGCCTTGCACATTTGTAATACTAATATGAGGGGTGGGGGGTGGGCAGAGGGCAGAGAGCATTTCAGTAGCTTTCCCAGAGAATTCACTGGGCTTGGGTATGCAAATTTTACTTTCAAATCCTTTTTTTAGAAAAGGCCATTCTTGCTGAAGTATGGAATACAGAATAATGAAATGATGCATTTATAAAAACCTAAATTTAGACCTTGCTTTAAAACCACTGGTTCTGGTTCATTTTACTTTATAGTTTCATGTGATAGCTCCATTTAAGGAATGCCCCTCAGTTATATGGTTGACAGTGTCACGGTTGTCTGTATCACACTGACATGGCATAATTTAAAGAATGCTGCACTTGGAACCAGGAGACATCAGAGTTCAAAATTTCTCCTCTGATACTAGCTTTTTAAACATTGGCAAGTCAATTCTTTGAACCTGTTTCTTTATGCATAAAATGGAGATAATACTTGTAATAACTACCTTCACAGTCTGCCCAAAAACATACGTTTTGAGAGGGAATATGTAGAGAAGACTCAGAACTATATAGACAGTTTGTTATAGAGTGAGAGTTCTCACTGGGGTTTGTGAATTTGATTTTTTGAAAATATTTTGTAAACTATTTCAATGTAATTGGTTTCCTTTGTGGTCCTACTTATTTTATGTTATTTAAAAACATCATTCTGATGAGACCATAGACTTCCATTATACTGCCAAAGGGGTGACAAAAAATAAAAAAGCTGTAGGAATTTCTGGTCTATAGTTGAAAGAGTGCTGAGTTTGGAGTCAGAAGACCTGGGTTCAAATCCCAGCTCTGCCACTGTGTGCAGACTGTGTGTGTTTCCTCATTTTTAAGTTGAGGGGGTTTGGACTAGATAATCTCTAATGGTCCCTTCTAGCTCTTTAATAATCCTATTATTCTCAGTGTATAAAACACCTACTTCCTGAGTCTGATTTCTGTAGTTTGACATTTAGGTTCTCAAATACATACTTCCTACATGGACTAGACATTAATGCATCTCATTCTTAGCAAGGCTTTGGAGGGGCTGAGAGAAAGGAAGTATACACATATACTATTGGTATTGATCTGAAACTATACCCCCCAAATTACTAAAATGTGTATATCCTTTGACCCAGCTATATACCCGTATGTATAAACTTATATACCAAGGAAGTTGAAGGAAGCGGAAAAATACCAATATTTACAGCAGTTATTTTCATAGTAGCCTGTCAGGCAGTCTCAGATCCCCTGCAGATAAAAACGGTCCTCAGTAATCAGAAAAAGGCTAGCCCAGGAGAGGGGCATGAGTTTTATTTACTGACTCACAGCTTTTTCATGGCAGTCAGGTTGGAAACTAAAGGGATATTGTCATATTGGGAAATGGCTAAATGTGTTACATGAATGAAATGGAGTATTATTGTACCATAAGTAATAGCAAAATGGACATTTCCAGAGGAAGCTGGGAAGACTTCTTTCATCTGATGCAAAATGAAGTGTGCAGAATTAGGAGAACAGTCTACACAGTGATAACAATATTACATTGAAAAACAATTTTGAAAGCTTTAGTACACTGATCAACACAATGATAAACTACAAGTCCAAAAGAATGAAGAGGAAACACCAAACACTTTCTGCCAGAGAGATAATGAACTTAACATTCAAAGGCATTCATTTTCTGATGACTAATGTGAGATTTGTTTTGCTGGACTATGCATGTATGTGAGAACTTTATTTTTCAGGTTAAAAAAAAATCAGTGAAATTGTACATAGAAAAGAAACTTAGGTATTTGAGGAGTTAACGAACTAAATAGCTTGGCCACTATAACCTCCAACCCACTTTCTTAGATCTACCTGCTTCTGAAATGCTTAAGTTCAAACCTGGTCTCAGATACTTTGCTTCAGTTTCCTCAACTATAAAATGGGGATAATAGCACCTACTTCCCAGCATTTTTGTGAGGATCAAATGAGATAATATTTGTAAAGTGCTTAGCCTGGCACATAATAGACACTATATAAACAGTTATTATTTAGAAAAAGAAAATCCACAAACTTTCAGACATTGACATTTTTAATATTAAAACTTTTCTTATTAAAAACATACCAAAGCAAATACAGTAATTTCATTTATAGCTATACATTTAGATAAACCAAATATCCATGGTTTATATACACATAGATACAAAAACTATACTTTTTTTTTTACATATAATACAACTTCCAGTGTAAAGACAAAACTCAAGGGGAGAAGATTGCATTTACAATAAATAGCATCATGACCTGAGCCCACAGACCTTTGTGCAACCTATGCAGTTCCCTTACTGTAGGGTAGTTTGCTAAAAGAGGGAATTCACAATTAAAGAGCTGCTTGTCATGTTGTGAAGTGAGAGTGCCCCTTTACTTTTTTTTTTTTTACCTGGGTACAAAACTTAAAATTACCTGAGTCAGAAGGAAATAACTATGGAATGATTGATCTTTCTAATGACTTTCTGCTCATCTGGGCCACCGAGACCAAAGGAAAGCCTTTGTTTTATTGAAATGTTTTGTTGTTTTTCCCTCCCAAGCACTGCACCCTGAAGAAACCACCGACCCTCTATCACCCAATCAATAAGCAGTTAAACTCTGTTGAGAGGCAGATGGGAGGCAGATGGGGAGTTCCCCTGGGAAGTTACCCAAGGTCAGTTGAAGCCCTCAGTGAACACTTGACAGTCTATCCTGGGGTGAGGAACCTGCCAGCCTCAAGGTCACATGCGGATCCCACTCCGGATCCCAATATGGTGATCCCCATCTGCATGACGCGACCACTAGCTGGTTGTTCATAACTGGCAAGATTCTTAGAAATGTGAACATTCTCTCAAAAGGATTTTTTTTTAAATAGTTTTTACACAGAAAGAGATGCTGGAGTGATCTTGTTTATTAACTTATTGAGAGCGATAATCTTTTCCTCCAAGACAAAATTCTTTTTCTCAGCACCTTTCTGCTTCTGTTCTGTAACCTGGAGAGCTTTCATTAGGTGAGCATTTTCCACATACAGGTCTTTTAGCAGCAAATCAGATTTTGCATTCTTTGCAAACTAGGAAAAAATAAGCAACATATATTACTTGATATGATGTTCCATGTATGATCCTACATTAGGTACATTATATGTTTGATAAATGAATGTGCTCAGGGACCCTGTATATCACACGGTGTTCACTTAATAATATGCTATGCCTTTGATCCAGAACTATACAAAATACTAATTGATGAGTGTTTTTTCCTCATTCATAGTAAAAATGATAACCCTCAAACTACACAGTGTGGAAAATCAGGGAAAAATGTGATTTTTAATATGAATTTTTAAAAAGTAGACAAGCCATATCTTCTTTTAATTAATTAATTTTTAGTTTTCAGCATTCATTTCCAACAAGCCATATCAATGAGCATACAAATACCTTTTCTATTTATTTTGAGAATTCTTTTATTTTGAGAATTTACCAGGCAACTTTCTTGTATAGGAAGTAAAATAAAACCAGCATGCTTTAGTGCTGGCCTGAGAGAAAGCGCCCTAGGAACACTTGCAAATTTCTATTCATTAAGCGGTTTTAAGCTTATTATATGTTGATGACTAAAGTCCTACTTTAATACCTCAAGGCATGTGGGGCACTTATGCCATCAGAGCCCAAGATCTGTAAGGTCCTATCAAGCTGGAAAGGTTTTGAGTTATGGACCTGATCATGGACTCTTATCATCTCAGGCCCTCCTAAATCTGGAGAGGGTCACCATCAAAACAGCCAAAAGGTGATGGATTTTTTAGCCAAAGCAACTTTTTGAACATCTATTAATTCACAGAAGAGTTGTGATCTATACATTGCTTGAGTGAGTTCCCACAGTGATGAAATCACAAATCTTTGAAATAAGAAGGCCTTATAAACTTAAGAATTTTAATCTGCTGTTGACAAGATTCAAACACAA